CAGTCTCCGAAACCCAGAGGCAGTTCTACTCTGTCAAACAGGGTTGCTATGAGTCGAATCAACTCAATGACAGGGATGGTAGGATCTTCCTATGGAGTCCAAACAAGGCCAAAAGAAAGATTTTTTAAAAAAAATTTAAACAGACTAAAATTATATTTCATGTTCAAATATTTTATTCTAAACAAGAGATTCAAATTACCTCTATCTTCTATAGTTTTTGATAGGTTTGTTTTGTTGTTGCTTTGGCAGACAGTAGGATTATTGTAATTATATTTCAAATTTTAAAGTCCTGTCAAGTGAGAAAACTAAGTTTCTACAAAGACTTAGTTTGTTTTGTTTTTTTAAGTAATTCTGTGCATTTAGAAAGTAAGTCAAGCCTTAAAATTATTTTAAGAATTTGAACCTAGTTCTCAGTTGGAAGATGAATAAAGCTTTTGTGTGACCATTCAAGCACTTACTTCAAAATTAAGGTCCCGGATCAAGACATCTCCATTTGGCGTTGCTAAAGGAACATGATCAAACCTACAGAAAAAGAAATTAAAAGGGGGCAGGTTTTACATTAAACACTAAGCAAATGTAAACTAAATAAGAAAGGCTCAAAGTCAAATCAACATTTGCTAGAAGTGCTGAAGAACTTGTTCTGGACATACTTTATAATGTTATCTGCGTTGATGATTTCTCCAGCCCCGGGTGTCAAGGGAATGATTTGTGGTCCTTCAATACCTTAAATGGAAAATAAGTGTTCAGCATCACATCATGCCGGTGAAGACATAAGATCGTGGCCTCATACATTCATAGTTACCCCTTTCCTGTTGAGAGACCATGGTACGCTCATATTTGCCATGATTCAAATCCTTTAGCACTTGCATTAATTCTGTAATCCGAGCAGTAAAACTAAAATTAAAACGAGAAGAAACCATAATCAACACTTCAAAGACTACCCTTATCTTTAATTTCATACAAACCTAAACGGAAGCTCTTAAGATTCTATTTTTGTTCAAATTAAATAACCTGACGCAAACCTCACACGCACAGCATTGATGGCAGTGTGCACATTTTAAGCATTACTTTTGGTAGAAGAGCAAGAGCGCAGGTATAAGGACAGAGATTTCGTAGGATCCCGCCTAACAGATAACTTCATTTCGGCATGTCAAGCAGGCTGTTAACTACTGGAACTTTTTGGAAATTTCTAATGGATACTGAAGGACTAATACACTCCGTGGACGCAGGAAATATACACTTGAGTTCTTGTGGCGTGATCTTCAGAGGCAATCTAAGGAAGGCATTTATTATATGAATACCCAGTACAAGTTGCCATTCTGCAAACACCTGTGAATTTGAAGGACTCCTCTCTTTCTTGGCCTTAAGAGGGGAGAAGATGAAGTATTTTTAGATGGAATTTATTATTGCAAGCAAGACAACTAAAAAGTAATGTCATGAGACTGATGACTGTAAGAATGACACGATGGTCAAAAGAAAAGCAATCTGCATCGAAGAAGAAAACTAAAATTCTTTGTGGGTAACATGTAGAAACCTTCTAAAGAAACACAAACCACTCATAAATCAGGAGCTGTAAAGGCTTTAACAAAAGTGACAGCAGCTGGATAGACGGTTAGCATGGAAACTTAAGGCGGTGTGTGTGTGTGTGCGCGCGCGGGGGGGGGGGGGGGTGGGGGGGGGGGGGGGGGGGGGGGGGGGGGGGGGGGGGGGGGGGGGGGGGGGGGGGGGGAGAACACGGCAGTAAAGGAGCTCGAGGAAATATAAAGACGACGACGAGTCAAAAGGCTCGGGGAGATCTTAAGTCATCAAATTTCTTCAAGTTACAGAGCACCTGACCCTTATGGTACCCCAGGGTGGTTTTTTCATGCCCTTCTAGAAAAACACCCTGCAGATGAGTCAATTATGAATCAGAGCGACCCATACAGCAGGGTAGAAGTGTTCCTGTGGGTTTCCAAGACTGTACATCTTTACGGGAACAGAAAGCCTCCTCTTCCTCCCGCAGAGTGGCTGCTGGTTTCCAAGGGCTGACCCTGTGGTTAGTAGCCATATGTAATCCACCAGGGCTCCTGTTTCATACCAGACTATACAATCTTTCTATTAGGGCCTGAAATACTGGAAGATTTTATTCCAATGCATAACGTAAAAACAATTTTACTGCCAGACTGCATGAACACATTTACAATTGTACCCACAGATCCCACAGTGCAAGGCTGAGCCCAACAACCTTCCTGAATCAAACACAGAACCGTGGCGCTGCTTCCTGACACAGCTCCCTCTAGGAGTAGGCACTGGCGAGGGCAGCGTGTCCCTTTCTTTACCTCTTCCGTTTACACCCCATCAAACAGCAGTTCTGGTATCAGGGGGGACTCACATTATGATCCTTTGAAATAGTCTTAGGAGTTTTGGGAACCACGAGAAGTCTTAAGAGGAACGATCAGGACTGTAGGGTGGAAGGGAGAAGGTTTTCCAGTGAGCTTCTCCTAGGACGGCCCTTAAGAACTCAAGAACGAGCACACGCATGGTCATGACGCAAAAACTCCTCAGGGCAACTTTCCTGGCCTGTTTCCCACCGGGGCAGTTTTCAATTTTGTTAAAACTTCTTTACGGTAAGCCCTCGTGATTACCCTGTCTCCCCCGAGACAATGGTGAAGTGCCCCCAAACCACCACCATCACCTTCCCCGCTGACCTCTTCTCCTTGAATATCACTGACCCAACAGATCCCCTCCCAAGCCACTGCTCTGACTGTGAAGGCTCCTGGGTTAGACTAACAACTGAACGAGAGAGGGAACTTGTCCGCCGCTATCCGCTGATTGAAGAGACACATCTAAACGTGTTTTCTTTGGGAACACCCTGGCATGGCAGAGCTAGAACTCTAGAAGCAATACTTGTGGCTTATCCTCAACCTGGCTTTTCTTACTTTCTTTTCATTAACAGCAATTTCCTGCTTATCGATTTATTTTGCTAGGTTGCTAGTATGAAAGAGCTAAGGAGGAAAATTATGGTGGGAGAAAAAATGAATTCAATTCTATTCATTAATCGAATTTACTGAGCATTAAGAAACTGCCACGCTTGGACATCTCCCAGCTTGTCCAGCCCCAGTGTCCATGGAACAAAGCTGGGGAAGCACTCAGAACTGGCTGTCTCAGGAAAACACGGATACTTCCGCTTCCTGGACTGCGGATGACGCTCCCCTTGCCCTCTGAGCTCCACCGCGACTGGGCGCCATGGTTGAAGATAAGGCTTTACGGCCCTCCTCTTACTAATCTTACCCAGCCAATCTTGTCATTTCACGACCAGCCAGGACTATGCGCCCCAGGGCTTGAGACATCCGTAAGAGCATTCTTCCACTTTGGTAGTAATCCTAGGAGAGAGAGAGACGTCAGCTTCCAACCTCTCTAAGAATTAAAAACTATGCGATAATAGCGTTTGTGCTTGTAATTGTCCTGAGTCATCATCAGTACCGTTGTCACCATTTTACCTCCAGAAGTTCGGAGTGCGTGCTCCGGAGATGCCGCGGGTGCGCCAGATTGAGGAAAGGGCGGCTGACAACCAGATATCCAACGACAGTGGCGAAGTCTGAAACAGAGGGCGGGACGCACGGCGTGAGCAGCGTCTGCCTCCCCCGGGCTCAGCCCTCTATCGCGCTCCGATCATACTCACATTTGGCAATTATGCTATCGACGAAGCCCATCGAGAACCGGAACAAAATGAAATTGTGCAGGTGCTCCACCTGACAGGAAGCAAGGGCAAGACATACATACTTTTTTCACAGATAGAAAATTACATGAATCTGCCAGCGAGAAAAAACAAACTGTTACGATTCAACACATAGTAACGGAGTGCCTACCATTTCTTGCTATATTGTGTATCACACTTCATTGAGCACAATGCTAAGCAGAAGCCAAGCTTCATAACTTAAAAACCATTTTTATGCAGAGTGAAAATTACATAACGAATTTTAGTAATGTGGTCTCCCATGTATGTAGCAACGCCAGGCCACTGTACTCACAATATTACCGGAGACATAATCGCAGACTAATCAGCCGAAGAAGAACGGAGGGAGGAGTGAACTGGATGGAGTACTAGCTATGTGGAGTGGCACCCAGTGCACCTGGCCTCTACTTTCGCTAATCCACTAACCCACACCCAATCTGAACGGAATGCCAGTGTTACTCCATACTAAACAGCCAAAGTCTAAAACTTTAATCAACATACCTTACCTCAAAAACACAAGCCTAAAAATGCTTCATATTCGGGATGTTTAGTATTCCCCAGTTTCTCATCTATGAGCGTGTCAAGGCCCTGTAGGATCTGGGCACAGGCTCAGTCTCGCCCTGCTCACAGAGCTACCACTGCTCCTCCAGCAGGGCCTGCCTCAGGCCCGCCTCTGGGTCCTCTGCCAGGAAGACTTGCCAGCACACTCGGGAGGACTTCCTCCTGCACCGTCTCCTTGACAAAGACCACGTGGCCATCATGGACAAAAGCAACTGCAGCCCTATCATATTCTACTCCTTTCTCCTGTTTGGTTTTTGGTCACAGAACTTATCACCTGAAATTACATAAATATACAGTTGTTCACATATTTACTGTCTCTTCCACTAAAATGTAAAATTTCTGATTACCTGGAAGGTGGGCCTTAGTATTCCCTGTATCTAAAAAAAAAAACAACCTACTACATTTATTTGATGAAACCCATGTGCCAGCGACTGCGCTCATGATAAAGATACAGTACTGAATAAACTACACAAGTTCACAGAGCTTACACGCTAGTGAAGGAGGCAAACGCATAAGTAAATAAGATAATGACAGGTTGAAATCTATGCTTTTAAAGAAGTCTGATGACCAGGAGTAATTGGTAGATTAATCAGAGATGCCAGACCTCAAAAACACATTTGGGCTGAAACCAGAAGGTTGAAAATAAGCAAGCTACGTGATGAGCAAACTGGTAAATGGCACTGTTCTGGAAAATTATCTTAAATGCATGTATTAGAGAGGATTTTAAAAATCAGAAAGATCAGTCATGTTATTAAGGCAAAAAACCTAATTCCCGAAATGATGTAAAATGGCAACTTCTTTAATCTCTGTAATCATCTAAAATCTGTATTCAGTTTTACAGGCATCTACGAAAATGTGAATTTCCTAAAGGCAGAATTTTGCCTGCCATTTTTATCACTGTATCAGTGGCCCCTAGAAAAAGCACTAGCTCCTAACTGGCACTCTAAATTTAGGCACTGAGTAATGAATAACGTTAATAGGATTCAAATTTTTGAAGTGACGAGTAAACAAACAATGGTGTATCATTTATACAAAGCACAATTTTCATACTCTGTACCATGGATCAGCAAATAATGGTCAACAGTCAAATTCTAGCCTGTGGTTATTTCTGTAAACATCTCATTAGAACACAGTTAAAACCACTCATCCACATGTTTGTAGCTACTTTCACAAAGTGGGACACTGGGAAAGAAATTGTATGGGCCACAAAAGTCCAACATACTTCGTTATTTTACAGAAAAAGTGTGCCTTGCAGTAAATAATATGTGTCACTGGGTTATCTCAATAGCTAAAAGAGCAAATTCTCTCTGTGGGAATACAACAATTTGTACATTTATAACTACAAAAGACTCTCATGGAACCTCTTTAAAAATATGCTAAACAAAGCATATAATCAATGCCACTGAATTGAACTTGTAGAAACTGGGTATGCTATGCTGTGAATAGTTCAAGAATAGCAAAATAAGTTTAAAAAATGTTTAAGATAGCCTGAAGATTATCTTAATGAATTCACCAATTACCACTGACTTATTATATTGACACAATAATATTAATCTCATATTTTAACTTAAAATATTTTTATTAAAATATTTTATAACTAATTAAAAATAAGTATCTTAAAGACTTTTATGTCTTCACATTGTGGCACAGGCTAAGAAAACCTTTCCCTAAACATGTGTGCTTCAAGACTAGTATTCTTCTTACCAGTTTTCGGAAGACTGAGTGGATTGTCTGCTTTTCTCGTTTATTTCCATTGTAAAAGGCTATTTCTTCACTATTAAGGAAAAGAAATTAGCAATTAATTTTAATAATACCTAAACTTGAGAAAATCATTATAATACAACGTGTGATAATGGTCAGATTTTTTAAACATAAAGTTGAAGAGTTAATCTTTGTGAACTACACACACACATTTCTACTTGGATAATGTCTTCCACTTCAGATTTGCTCTCTGCACTGCTGAGTCAGTGAGCGCTTACTCCTGGTTGTGGTGACTGATTAGGGAGCTGAGCATCCTCTGATCAGAAAGCAAGCTGGTTACATCACCACAAAGCCAGTGGTTCTAAAGGCATCTGATACACATGGTTTTTGTAGGGGAGAATGGAGAGAAAAAGAGTTTACAGCCTTGAAATGTCATCTAATTAGTGTCAAATGTGAAAGCACTGAAGAAAAGTACATAACTCCCTTTCAATTTTGAGAGAAATGGGGAAAGAGGAGGAAGTAATATTTCTGCCTGGCTTAATGAACGGTATACTGATATTTGTTTGAGATATTAGAGTAAGGTTCATTATATTTACTTGTAATCTCTGGTGCATACTTTTAAAAATTCTGAACTAGGGGAAGGTTTATGGATAAGATATTTTGTTTCCAGATCATTTTTCATTCAGCCTATCAAATTTCTTAATAGTTTGCCATTTCCTGCCTCCCACCCCGACCCTTCTGTTTGTTTGTTTCTTCTTTCCTTCCTTCCTTTTTCCTCCCACTTTTTGGATATTATCTTCCCCTTCAGAAAAATCTACATGTATAATTTTTTATTGAAATAATCATTGCTCCTAAGGCACATGAAGCTCACTTAAAGGAGGAAACCACCTCTTTTGTTAAATAACCTATAGTAAATAATGAGCCACCTTTACTAAACATCTACAAAATCCTAGGAATTACGACAGACGCTTTGCATATATAATCTTTAATCCTACCTTTACTGCTGCTGGACAGGAATGTTAGTCAGGTTTTATGAGGCCTGCCTGGTTTCTGGGGGTGGCCTCTGCCTGCGCCCCTGGACGGCAGTGGTCTACACAGCACAGTGGATGAGAGCACCTGGCTTGACCAGAGTGGGCTGCAACCGATGCCTACACAGGCTGAACCCAGTGCACAGGAATGTGAAATAAGACACAGGAGGGAATTGCTGTGATATTCATGGGGCCGGGACAGAGTTGCAGATGGGTCACAAGCTGAAATGCAAACCCAGAGATGGGGAGGATGGGGAAACAGCTAGAAAAAGACAGGCAGTGATGTGGTGGCACGCGGTCTTTAAAACATCAGGACAGTGGGCTAAAGCCTGGCAGTCTCACAGTACAGGCTCGCGGGGCACACTCATTCCTTGACGCACCCCCCAGCCTCATCAGCACAACAACCTCCCTTTTCTCGAAATGGCTTCATTGAGTCTGTTGCTGGTAGCCTCAAGAGCCTTCGCAAGAAAAGAGAACATTTTATGGATAAACAAACAGCTCTGGGTAGCTAAGTAAATTTGCCAAAGTCACACAGCTAACAAGTGAAGGAGTTGAAATTATGACTCTAATCTGGGCCTAAAGTCTGTAGCCTTTCCTGCCACTCCATCGGTATGATGAAAATCTTCCTGGCAGTACCTCTTACAGCAGAGGAGAGTAAATATTTACACTACAAGTCTAGAGGGCACAGCTGAAAGGGCCTTCACCATTTCCAAGTCTCTTTTTGTCCCTGTGTGACTTTTAGAGTCTATGCTAACATTTTCTACCACATAGTTTTCATCATAAAAAGGTATCTCCCAGTTCAATTCTTTCTAGGAAAACTGGCTTTACATAAGGATGCATCATGTACATCTATCCTGTTTCACATATTCCTTGGTACAATGACAGAGACCTTCAGTGGGGAGGACTTCAGTGTAAGAAACACTCTTTCCTAACTAATACACCAAGTTCTACCCATGACCTTTAAGTTGATTCCAACTCACAGTGACCCTAAAGGACAGAGAACTACCCCACAAGGTTACCACGCTGCAATTATCGGAGTCCTCAAAATGTCTTAAGGCTTAAAGAGCAATGACCTTTTGGGGTGAGAAAATTTATTGAGCATCTGTTACATGTAGAAAACTGTGTAAGCCAGTTTTTTTACATAGTATCATGCTTAATCTCAAAAACCCTAGGTTATCTACATAGTGTAAATATGTGAGGCTATGAATAACTTGCTGAAAGTCATATAATATGTAACAGATTAAAGAAAGTAGATTTTGAAACTAGTTTGACAAGATTCTTATCTGTGAGCTACTTACTGAGTATTTCAAACACCATCTCAAAATAAAAATGTGTAGATAAGTTGAGACACTTTCTTTGAAGCAATATTGCAAATTATCTTTAATTTCACTTATATTTTGGCTATGTTTAAAATAAAATTAACAGAAAATTAGGAGAAATTAACAAACATATAGAAGATACAAAGATGTGACACAGTACATTACACAGCAAGCAAAAAAAGGAGGGAGCTAGAAACGTGGACAGTTACAACTTTATAAAATTAATATCCTTCATAATGTATACTTTCAAAGCAGGCAAATACACAGACATGCACACTAAACATATACACTGGTACAGAATAACTCTCTGCATGGCTTTAATTCATTTTTTTCCTCACCTGTTTGTGATGAGCCGGGAATTAACATATCGATATTCACCTTCATACTTCTGCTCAGTTATCGTCATCTTGCCAATGGGCCTTCTAAGTCGAGTTAGGAATAGCCCCGAGACAACCAAGTAGGCCATCATACTGGTTGGGCCCTATTGTTATTGGTAGAAAGCATATCATAATAAATTCATTATATGCAAACTTACACAATTCTTAAGAAGAAACACATCCTGGGCCTCTCTACTTTTATTTCCCCCTTACTCACCTCTAACCACTGCAGTCTGACCCCTAGTTCCCCTGTATCTGCTCACCTAAAAGCTCTGAACCACTCCCTTAGTCCTATCTTTTCTCTAGTGTTTAGCACTCTTCTGTTCCAAGAAAGGAAAAAAAAAATCTGTTCTAAGACTGGACAATAGTTCTCAGACATCTTTTCCACCTTCTCTTTCAGTGTTAATGAGCTCTGGTGGAGCTGATGTTGGGTCAGTATTTCAAGTCCACTGGCTGCTCCGCCAGAGAAAAATGAAGATGTCTGCTCCCAGAAAGACCTTTGTACACTGATGACACACACAACTTTCCTCTAGTTCTTTAATGCTTCCTCTCCCTGCCCCACTACCATGACCCCAATTCTACCTTACAAATCCGGCTAGACCAGAGCACGTACACTGGTACAGATAAGAGGTGGAAAGACAGGGAATCCGGGACAGATAAACCCCTTAGGACCAGTAATGAGAGTAGCCATACCAGGAAGAGAAGGGGAAGGACAACAGAAAAGTGGGTGAAGGGAGACAGTGGTCAGTGTAAGATGTGAAAAAATAAAAATTTATAAATTATCAAGGGTTCATGAGGGGGTGGGGGGGAATGAGCTAATATAAGGGGATTAAGTAGAAAATGTTGAGAATGATAATGACAACATATGTACAAATGTGCTTGACACAATGGATGGATGGATGGATTGTGATAAGAGCTGTACAAGCCACCAATAAAATGATTTTTTTAAGTACACTCTCAAAAGAAAAAACAAAAGGACGATCCTTTGTAGTGTCACCGTGAGTCAAAATCAACTTCATGGGAGTGGGCTATAGGGTTTTTTCCCTCCGGTGTTAATATTCTCTGAAAGTCTTTCCTTAGATTTCTTTTTTTTCCCCCTTAGATTTCTTATCCCAAATTTTTATCTCCATTTCCATTACCCTTTTGAACCTAATATAGTGTTTCAAAAATATGAAGGGTTTTTCCAAAAGTTCATAGGAAAATTCCATTATCTCTGAATTCCATTTTTCCATTAGCTTTTTGATGCTCTTTCATAAATACTGAGCATCTTTACTGGACTGCTCTACAGATGCCGCAAGCTCCGCTGTCAACACGACTCCGTGGCCTTCTCTTCCAGGATATCTTGCTTCTTTCCTGTTGTACCTTCTCATATGATAAGTGGCATCATCGCCTGTTGACCACACCAAGACAGAAGCTTCAAGCTCGCCTTTCTAAGCCTATGACAGAGCCTTTCCTTATCCTTACATTGGAAATATTACCTGTCATGCAGAACTGTCGCTCTCTGAACATGCCATCCAATGAGGTTACTGTTCTGTCTGGTAAGCCTACCATCCTCCCCAAAGCACCTCCTCAAATATCACCTCCAAATCTTCTAGGCACTAAATATTCAGTCTTTTATTTTATTAGACATACAATCTCCCTCTTTAACTGCTATTCATCTTTTTATTCCTACTGGATAGCAAAAACGTATGTTGTATATAAAATATGATTATTGAATGCATTTCAAAAGCTAGTGTAAGTATGGGCCAAAGAGATATTAAAACATGGTCTCTACATTCTAAAAATACAGTCTGGTAATAGAAATTTGTGGGAGCATTATGAAAATGTAATAGGTACTATAAATATATTCTGGCACAGGGATTAGAGCAGTGGTTCTCAACCGGTGGGTCGCGACCCCTTTGGGGGGGGGGATTGAACGTCCCTTTCACATGGGTCACCCGATTCTTAACAGTAGCAAAATTACAGTGATGAAGTAGCAACAAAAAGTTTTATGGTTGGGGGTTACCACAACATGAGGAACTGTATTGAAGGGTCGCAGCATTAGGAAGGTTGAGAACCACTGGATTAGAGGAACAAGGTCTACCAATTAAAAAGAACCTATAAGAATGACTAACTTCAATCACAGGACAATATAAGAATAAGAAGACAGATTTTAAAAAAATATGTATAAAAGAGTGTCTTCATCAGTATTTTGGAAAGCAGCAAAATCCAGCATTTATTTAGTAAACAACTCAGTAATTTATACACACATACACATATAAACCTAAAATAGCTTGGCTATTATATGGTTGGTTATAAATATATAGCAATATTACACACTGAGTTACTAAAACTTAATTTCAATAAGAAAGTTGAAAGAAAATTTAAAGATCATTCTTATCACCACATATCAGAAAACAAGGGTGTTAGGATTCATGGGATAGTCAACCATTTAAATTATTATATAATAGTCTTCAATCTGGAATCACATTTTAAAGGCATTATCCCTGCTCCTTTAAAAAGCCCTGGTGCCACTAGTGGGCAAGCACTGGACTTCGGACTGCAAGGCTGGATTCTGTGGGAGAAAGATGAGGCTGTCTGCTCCCTTCACGATTTACAGAGGCCTCAAGCACCCCGTACAGGGTGGACAGGAGTTGGAATCGACTCAGCGGCAGTGGGTTGGGTTGGGTTTTTCCTTAAAAACCTGTTTTGAAATCTATTTTTAGACATTACTGCAACCTATTTTCAATTCTTAAGCACTTCTGATATTTACATCAAAACATTTTCTATGTAACTAACTTAATGAAAATCAGAAAGTCAAATTGGAATTCCCTTATAAGTTTCTAGTATCGTACCATTTGACGCCAGGAGAAAGACGAGACTTTCTACCCCATCGAGAGTCAGTCTCAGAAAGCCCAGGGCAGTTCTACGCTGCTCTACAGGGCCATCAAGAGTCAAAATTGGTCTGATGGCTGTGAGAAAGGTGTGCTATATTACACAGTCAGATTTTACTGACATATTAGGTGAAAACATATTCTTTAAATTCACAAACATGCTTATAAATCAAGTGATTTGTAATATAGCATTACAGTAATTTAAGATAAATGTCAACTCACCTGAGCTCCGATTGCACTTGTTAATTTGAAGATATACAAAACTATGTCTAAAAATGGCTGTAAAATAAATATTAAAACACAGAATGAAAACTAAAGAACTAGACAGGTAGCTGATATGTTTAACACAAAATGATGCTGGACATCTAGCACACGATTTTCAACATGCAGAGCTCCCGTAGTATAAAACATACTGGGATCATATTTAGAACAGGAATATGTAAGGACAGTTCCTGTCCTCAAGAAACAACATGGAGAAAGCCTGAATCATGTCTACTGACATCAAGTGGGAAACACATTTGCCACTTCTCATCTACCCAAAATGCTAGAGGAATAATTAATCATTATGAGTTGATAATTTCTCGATATAGCATAAAGACACTGAATAAAATAACCTGTGTCACCTCAAATCTGCTGCCAGCTTGTCCGGTCTCTCTGTATCATCACCTATAAAACGAGAGGCTCATCCTGCTCTAAATGTGCTTAACTTTGTAATTTTCTCACATTCGTGCACTGAAACAATGGCATTGAATCTGAGTCTTCTGATATCAAACTGAATGTTCTAGAACTAAAATAATATACTAGCATAGTACCCCTAACACATGGAGACAATTCGAGTGATGCAGTATCAGCTGCACATATTTTGAAGTGTTTCTCAAGAAACTCACACTGTGTTTACACTAGGGTCAGAGTTGAGATAAACACCAGTTTATTCCAAGCAAAACGTGTAGAAGAGGTCTCTGCCGTCAGTGCATGTCTGCAGGCAAGTTCTCTCAGTAACGTTCACCTTCGTCTCATTACAGTGCCTTCCAAAAGGGGTGCTTTTTGTGCCATGAAAAATGAATGGTATTGAAGTCAGGGCTAATACTAGATTCTAAACAAAATGTAAGTGAACATCTTCCCAAAACACAAACTCTGTGGCAAGTTTACAGAATGCTGTCCCACAATAAAGTAAGTTTCCAGGTGGAGCAACTGTTTTAGGAGGTAAGCCAAGAGTGAGAAGACCAACCACAGTAAAGACAAAGAGGAGAAACTGGGGTTGGAGTCCACAAAAACGGTGGGAGAAATCTATTAATTACCACTGATACCACAGGATCACAAAGTTGCGCATCTTGAGCTCTCACCTCAATGATGCCCAATGTGTTGCACAACGATCAGCTAGTTCCAAAAGCTCTGATCTTTCTAATATTTTAATCCAGAGAAAGCTGGTCTTGTGGAGACAAGTCCTGGATTTACCGATGCAATCCAGAAAGCAAGGATCAAGTAAGCAGTGGCTTCCATGGGGATCTGCTGGGCCAGTGAAATCACAGCAGAGAGGAGAACTAACTGTACTTTCTGTATTGGAGGATTCCAAAGGTGTACTCGCCAGATTTTACTCAAAGGACACACACAATCGTGGGGGCTTCTATGGAAGAAGTTTTCAGAAAATTGAAAACAGTACTACTAGTGGTAGAAGAGTCTAGAAAGTCGGGATGAGAAATTTTTTTCCCATCACAATCATGCTTCTGTGCTTAATACTGGTCCCAGAAGAATATCATTGGAAAACCTTCCCCTTTCCACCAATGAGCCGGGTCTTGCCCCTTGCGACGTCTTTTTGTTCCCCAAACTCAAAGATGGTTAAAAAGGAACGCAACTGGAGTCTCTTGAAGCTGCCCAAACTACCATTTCAACACGGTACAAACAACGAGTGCACACTTCTCTGGGAAAGGTCCAAGAACCGGAGACACTGGCTTCAGAAGGACCTACCCCGAGATGGAGCAGCAGCTTCATGTCTTCATAGTTTTAGTAAAGGTTTCTAGGATTTAGTAGCAATATTTTTGGATATATCCTCATATATCCTTTCTAATAGCTGCATCATCATTATAATCATTATTAGAATAGAAGGTTTGGCTTGATAATTGGGTTGTCCTAAGATGAGCCTTTTTGGCTTTTTTATTAGATATAAAATTCAAGTACACTTAAAAGTTATTGACAAAAAATGATGACTGGTAATTTAAGTAAAGAGTTTAAACAATTAGATGTATAAACTAGGAAGCCCACTATGGTACATGAGTACCACTACAATTAATTGTTAATATTCTTCCCTATTGCAGATGTAACAATACCTGAGCTATCAACTGATGTAAAGAATACTTAAGTGTCAAGATAAGAGAATAACTCATTATGTCTATGGAATTATAAAAACATTTTATATATACATCCTTGCCAACCAGCACACACAGATCAAACTTCAAAATATTTTAATGAGGATCAAAAAGAAAGCCCAATTACTGATCTGTCTGCAGTTGTTAAAGTTCCTTTAGTTTAGATCAGTCAGCAAAGGCTCTGGAGAGCAAAATAAAAAAGAAAGGTTGGCATAAAGTACCATGAGACCCTAGTAGTGTGTGTTTGGGGGGTGTGGGGAGGACACTCTCCGTGTATTACCTATCACTTTTCTAAGAATTGCCCATTTTCTTCCACCCAGTTAGTTGAAGCAGAAGGATTCCTATTTGAGTCAAGTGTATATTTTTTTGCTCCAAGACTGAATATTTGATTCAAGTGAGATCAAAAGTGAAGACACTAAAATTGGTCCAATTTGAGATAAGTTCCCACCGAGGCCAAGGGCAACCATGTAGTTTGGAGTGGAAAGCGGAGTATCTCTGATGAAGAGGGAAGAAATGCTGGGTAGATGATCTTGAACTTGCTCACCACATGTTTAGTCAGGCCAGGAGGCCATGGCAAAGACACTGGCTTCATGAGAAGACTATACAGCACAGACTCTAAGGATGGTAAGACAGACAAGAACTGAGGAAATCAGTACGAAGAAAAAAGGAAGAGTTATGGTCCATTATCATAATCAAGAACATTGAGATATTCTGCAAACGAAAAGTACATAATTAGAGAACTTATGAGATAAACTAATATCTTGTGGAAATGTTCTGAATTTTGAAGATGTAGGTATAAAAAAAGCAGAGAAATAGGCAGGTAGGAGGGCATTATTTGTGCCCATTAAAAAAAAAAGGCTAGCTAATAGAAAGGAGGAATTTTAAAACAGCATCATTAATATCATAAGCAAACGAAATTTTGATGAACATAATTCAAAAGCAATTCAAGGCAGATTCAGGAGAGGACACGGAAGAAGGGCCATCACTGCTGATGTCGGATGGATCTTGACTAAAAGCTGAGAACAAAAAGCTTTACTTGAGTTCCTGGGACTGTGCAAATACATTTAACTGGACGGAGACCGCGATCTTAACAAATGATGGATATGGTTATTAAGAATGGGAATTCCAGGACCCTTCATTGTGCTCACGGGGAACCTTTGCAAGATCAAAAGGTGGTCCTTCTAACAGAACACAGGGATAATAGGTGGTTTAAAACCAGGAAAGGTGTATGCATCAGGGTCGTTATCCCTTCACCATCCTTTTTAATTTATAAGGAGCCCTTTGGTATGGAGGTCAGTTTTCTGCTGACAACCTAAAGGTTGGTGGCTCAAGCTCACCTGCTGTTCTGTAGGAGAAAGAGGTGACAGTCTGCTTCCATATAGATTTGCAGCCTTGACAGTCATATGGAGTTCTACTCTGTCCTATAGGGTTACTGTGTGTCAGAATTGACTTAAAGCCAGCAAGTTTGGTTCGGTTTATTCCATCTATATGCTTAACAAATAATTCCAAAAGCTGGATGATACGAAGAAAATAGCATCAGGATTGGAGAATCATTAACAACCTGCAAGACACAGATTACACAACCCTGCCGCCTAAAAGGGAAGACTTGAAGCATTTCCTGATAAAAGATCCAACACTGCGCCCTTCAGTGTGCTCAACATACTCCACACCTCAAATCAACTTACATTACAGAGACCAAAAACCCTATCACAGCATGGTAACTGCAGCAAATGCTGATGCTCTCAAGGACTTCATTTCACATAAACCCATAACCGACGCCCATAGAAGCTCCACTCACGAAAGCCAGCAAGTCTGGCTACGCTAATGACCACTCTGAAAGGGATCAAAGAGTGGGGACAAAACTTAAAATCATGGAAAAGACCGAGCTTATTGACCAGATAAACTGGCAGAATCCCCAAGACTGTGGTTGCAGTCATTCAAGCCTGGAAGTGAACTTACCACTACAGTTCAATTATCAGCCAGTGAGAAGACATGTCTATAACACTAGAAAGGTATAGCTTCCTTAGAATAATCAACCATTTGAGCGCAAAAGAGAAGCATTTGCATAAGGACAAAGTCCAGAAGGCAGGAAGGGTTTAGAAAGGAGAAGACATGGAAATAGGATACACAGGGGCTAGGCGATGTTATGTTGTGGGGATTGCAATCAATGACATGAAACAAAATGTGCATGAATTTTTTAACGAAATAAATTTTCTCTGTACACCTCCACTCAATTCATTAGAAATAGTTTTAAAATGTAAAACATGCTGGATTGTGCAAATCTGCGCAAGATCGCTTTAAAACATACAATAGCAAGGATGTCACATTGAGCACTGAGGTGCACCTGACTTAAGCCATGGTTTTTTCAATCACCTCACACGCATGTGAGAGCTGGACACTGAACAAGGGAGTCGGAAGAAACAATACACCTGAATTATGGTGTTGGCAAAGAGTAATGAATTTACCATGGCCGCTAGATGAATGAGTAGATACTGCTCCTTAGAAGGAACGCTTTCAAGACTTCATCGTGTGTGCTTTGGTCACCTTCTGAAGTGAAAGCAGTCCCTGGAAAGGGCACCATGCTCATGAAGCACAGTCGGTGAAAAGGAGGAGCATCAGTAAGACAGCGCTGACAGGAGCTACCGTACTGGGCCCAAGCACAGCAACAACTATGCCGGCGGGGCTGGACCCGGGTAGTGTTGCACGCTGCTGAATGTGGGGTTTCTACGACTCAGGACCAACTCAACAGCGCCTAACAACAAGCCCTGGTGTGATCAATGTGGAATTTGGAACTTAAACTGGTAGGCAATGAGGCGTTCATTGTCAGTTCTTGGCCCAAGCACCTCTAAAATGGATAAAAATGCACATAAACCCTAATTTACTTATTAAAGAATTCAATGTTTATTTGTTGTTCTGTAAGTCAATTCTATGTAAATTTGCTTCAAAATTTAACAACCTAATACACATTTTTTAACACTAGAGAAACTTACCTTACTAAGATTTGAATACAGATCGACTACACTATTACAAAACCTTTCTACATCTTGTGTGAGCAGCTGGTCTGGATTAGCTATTCTGTTGTCCAGGTTTCCCATTTTATAATAGGTGAAAGCTCTAAAACAGAAATAACAAAAGATTTTAAGACAAAATGAAACACACATTCACATTTTACCTCAATCCAAATCACAGAAATAGAAAAGTTTGGAGCCAAAATGTAGGCCGTAAAGATTGTCCTTATTTACACAAGAGAAAACCACATGCAGCGAGGGATGGTTTGTCAACTGACGGAAACCCAAGAGCCTATACAAAGAGCTGAGCAGTATTTCCTATATGCTTTCGTTTCCTAAGGGAATTTTCACGGAAGTATCTACATCTCAGTACCATAAATATTACTTTTCCATTTAAAAATGGCTAATACGAATAGCTTATCACTTACTGGAGATATTCCTCATAGAGGTGTTTAGTGAGTCTTACTCGGAAGCACAGTTTGAGCTCATTCAACCCAAACTTCAAGAAGTTATTAACCAGAGAGATCTAAAACAAACAAACAAACAAACGTTATTGGTCTTGTTTCATTTCTACTTAATAAACTTATTTTATTGTTCTATCAATTTCTGGGCCCCCAATGCTAAGATTTTTATAGTTGATGGCCCAATGGATATAATGCAGTTTTTTTTTCTTAGAATTCTTAAAGATACAAGGAGAGCATAGTAAACTAAATGTGTCTTGCTATAAGACCCTCTGTTAAATTTTAGTTGGAACTTAATTTTCAAATATGCTATTTAATATCATATTCTCATATGGGATTGGGTAAAACAGTCAAATCTGTTACCTTTCTATCAATGAAGTAAAGACCTGCTTTTAACAGTCCTTACATTTGTTGTTATATCTTGTTGCCTACTGTCAGTACTGTACCCCTAGTCAATGGAATTGTATACATGGTATATTTACATATGTTTTTTAAGAAGTTTCATGGCCATGAATGTTATTTTCCAGATTTATAGAATCATCCTCTCTATCATCTACTCCTTTCCATATTAAAAATAATTCTTCCATAGTTCTGAACTCAAGTTTGCATACAAATGTTTAGTAGCCTGGTGGAGTAAAGATTACACGATGGGCCGCTAACCACAAGGTAAGCAGTTTGAAACCACTAGTCACTCCAATTGAGAACAATGAGACTTTCTATTCCTATAAATAGAGTCTCGAAAGCCAGAGGGAAAATCTTATCCTGTCCTATATGAGTCCACATTGACTTAACGTCAGTGACTCCCTGGTGGTGTCGAGGTTACTAGTTGGGCTGCCAACTGGAACAAAGGTCAGCAGTTCAAAAGCAACAGCCACACCGCAGGAGACAGCCAGAGATTTCTACTCCCATAAAGAGTTGCAGTCTCGAAACTCACAGGGCAGTCCTCCCTGCCACAGAGCTGCTCTCCGTCAGAGCGGACTCGGACTCGATGACGGGAGTTTGGCTTTTGGCGTCCTAACAAAGCACAAAGGATCGATAAGCCAAACATACAAAAGGGTTTCCAGATGACCCTATCGGCTGACTTCTTCTAGCATTAAAACATCCATGTATTCTTTTGTGATATAGTTAATCATTTACTTAGTATTCCTTACGATTGTTATTTAACACCCACCCCCCAGCAATTATAAGGAATTTCTCTCCTCTTTAAGAAAAAATTAAGTATTGTCAAATACAGTCAACCTGTGCACAGTCCTTTTTGACAATATTTACATTTTTTCTTCATATTTAAATTTATTTTTAATTTTAGTATTTAATGTTTTCTTCATATCCAGAAAAGAATTACCACTGCAAAGGGTTAACTTTTACTTCAAAACTCTGAACTCATGGATTTCCTAATCGATTTGCCCAAATTGTAAATTTGACAGGAACCATGACCCCATGACTCCTCCTCCCCAACCAATCAGTTCCCACTGATTGTAACCTGTCTACTTCTTTCCCGCTCAAACCACGATTTTAGTCTACCACCATCATGATCAAATGTGTTGCAACAAACCTTCTAAAGCAGTGATTCTCAACCTTGCTAAGGCCGCTGAATACAGTTCCTCATGTTGCGGTGACCCCAACCATAAAGTTATTGTCACTGTCACTTCATCACTGTCATTTTGCCACTGTTATGAATCAGGCGGCCCACAGGTTGAGAACTGCTATTCTCAAATTCATTCTCTACAATTCAGTCAAAGTGAGCTATTGAAAACACTCATCTGACTATTGTATTCTGCTGCTTAAAATCCATAAATGGTGTTTACAGGCCAGCAATACAAGTCCTAATCCCTTGGGGATGTGATTAGTTGCCACTCAACCTGCTCTTGACTCCGTACTACAACACCAAAGGTTCCACTGAATATGATACTTGCTAATCTCAATCCAGCTTTTTCTCTAGGTTGATGTGTTCATTTCCAGTTCCCAGCCTCCAGACTTGTTTCTGCTGCACTCAGCCTTCAAAGTCCTTATCATCAGTTCTTAGGTGGCTAACCCTCTTTCCTTATTATCTTCAGCTCTTATTGAGGAGCCCTGGTGGTACAAAGCTTAAGCACTTGGCTGCTAATGGAAAGACTGGGGGCTTGAACCCATCGTCCCAGTGGCTCCACTGTTAAAAGAACTGGCATTTTTGTTGTATTAAAGACTACAGTCACAAAACCCCTATGGGGCAGTGTAACTCTGTCTTGAGGGATTAGATCATTATAAATCTAAATAGATTGATGGCATCTAACAGAAACAGTTTCTTATACAAAGAACTCCGCTAAGTTGTGACCTTCCCCGAAAAAGTCTTTCCTAATCCACCCAGCAAGAATCCCTGGTGGCATGATCAGGTTACCCTAGACTGCAAGGTCTATCAGTTTCTCCACAGGGCAGAGAAGAGGTATCTGCTCCCATAAAGATTTATAGCCTAGGAAAACTGTTATGACCTGGCATCCAATCAAAAGCTATGGAACTGGTCTTGTTAATTGCCTTTGGGTAGGCTCTTGATAACACCATGCACAATGGGACTGGACCTTTGTGCCTCACGGGATTTTTACTTGCTGGTTTTTCTGAAGTAGATCGCCTAGCCTTTCCTGCAGGCCCTTCTAGGTGGACTTGAGCTTCCAGCCTTGCATTAACCCTTGGTACCACCAAAGGACTGCAATGAAAGCCACAGTGCTTAGTTCTATATGGCCAACCTTTTTCCTTCTCTTACCCTAGACATCTAACTTTGCCTAGTAATGGAATTCTAACAACAAAAAATTATGTTTAACAGAATAGCCTACTTCACAGATCTTCGAATTGGAAAACCTTAACTCAAATGAAGACACCAGGCAGAGTTAGCAAGGGGCTTGACCAGAGGCATACCTCTATGTACTACAAAACTGACACTTGAGACCAATTCTTCTGAACTTAGGCTCAGGGTACTTTGCATTATACCAGCACTATGTTACCAGGTGGAACAGAGGCCCAACCAATCTTTCCTATGGCAACGGTTCATGTTGCAGTACTGGGGTATGCATGTATCCTTTAAAATGATTGATACTTTCTTAGTTGATGATCATTAGACTGCATTGTCAATCATTAAATAGTGTTTGAAACATGTTTTCCTATTGTTACGTCAGAATTTTGTTTTTTAAATGAGTCAGCTTTAAGATAGCATCAATGCTAAATGCTATTTTTATGCTAATAATGTGCCCATTATATGGGTACCTTCAACCCCCCACAAGTAAACTACATATGTGCACACTCATGTATTAGTTTCCTATGTGTGTCCCATGTCTGAACATATTCTCTACAAGGGCGTGTGGTGCGCTGAAAAAACATGGTAAGTAATGGAGAATAAGAGCGAGGGAAAGAAGCTTCCTACTTTTGCAATCTGATTGGCCATAGAAATATAGCTGGAACCTACTGCCAGGGTATGCCCTCCTCCAGGCAGTGAGTTTATTCCACCCCTCTTTCTAGTGGAAGTTCCTTCAACCAATGCATCTTTCTCCCTCGTTTCATCTCAACGTTGCTTTTAGAAATCCATAAGCTTTCAGAATGTGAAGAATGAGTATCCTCTGGCAATGGAAATGCTGAGGGCGTCTGGTACAAAAAGCATCATCCACCCCACCCCTTTACCTGGCCAAGAGTCCTGGTGGTTCAGTGCATCAAATGTTGGCTTGAGAAGTAAGAAGCTAGGAGTTTGAACTCCCCAGCTACTGCGTGACAGAAACATGAGGCAATCTGCTTCCATACAGCTTTAGAGCTTCAGAAACCCCAGGGCGCAGTTCTACTTTGTGCTGCAGGGTCTCTAAGAGTCGGAAGCAACTCAAAGACCGTGGGAGTGTGGGTGGTGCCAAACCAGAAGTAGTTAATTTTGTTACCGACTTAAATCTGTCCTAAAGTATTCCTTACCGCTACCATGAAATAGATAACCTGGTAAATCTTAGCAGTTGTCTGTAAAACTACAAATACCCCTTGATATACACACAAATCCCCTCCCTTTTTCCCCCTCAAATACAAGGAGGCTTTAAGAAAAAGCGACTTTTTCCATGGACTTTTTCCCAGAACATTAACTCACAAGAAGACTGAAGGAGAGAGTGTCAGTCCTTACATTCGGATACATGCATTCAAGCTCTCAGAGCTTAACACTGTGCGTTTTATAGGCATTAGGTTACTTTTTTAATAAATGCTTAATTGTTCTCATTACAAAATACATTATTTTTTTAAAATGCTCAAATATCATAAGCACAAGTAAAATGAACATTTAATATTCATTTTATGCATAGAGCTTTGTTTTTTACATATTATAGTTTAGCTTAACTTTAGATCTTAAGCGCTCCCATACTGTTATATCCCCAAATGAGGCTAAAATTTAGGTGATTTATTTTTTAAAATCAAATTATACCATTATTTTGTATCATCTTCTGTAGGCTTTATAAATATTATTTTACTATGGCTAGATAAACCTGAATATAATTTCTGTCTCTTTTGGAGCAGGTTGCTATTTATTTCCTACAATCCCTTAAGATTCAACTCTGCTTTTCCGGTCTTTTGCTGAGTCTCAATCTAAAAGAGGATTTCAAACATGTTCTTAGAAAAATGGAAATAAGAGATCATGGATTTTTCATCCATGAACTTTGGAAGCCTCCTTCAATAACTGATAATTCTGCTTACATATTTTTTAAAAATGTCAACAAATAATGTATCCCCTATCTCATGATTTTTCACATGAAAATTTCTGACACATTCAATTTAATTTGATGTCAAAACCAAGATCTCTTTATTACCTGGAAATTTTGTTACAAATCCATCTTAAACTGCATTCTTGGTTGAACTTATGCTATTAATTTACAGTAAAAAGTAGTGTTTCCCAAAATAGCAATACTGTCCCCTGGGGGGCAGGGGTGCTGGAACAATCCAAGGGGCTACAAAAGCTGACAATAAATTCCCCCTGCCCACCATAGGTCCCATACTTATTTGCCCAACCGCCACAGTAGGGCAAATAAGTATGGGGACCTATGGTCAAAAACAATGATTCTCAATCAGGATGATCCTGTGCCCCCAAGGGGACATTTGGCAATATCTTGAAGCACTTCTGGTTGCACAAATGGATGGGGGTGAGGTTCTATTGGTATTTAGTGGGTGAAGGACCAGAGGTGCTGCTGAACACCCTAAAATGTACAGGCCAACACCCCACAAAAAGGAATGTTCCAGCCCCAAATGCCGGCAGTGCTGAGAGTGAGAAGCTCTAGCCACATATGTATACTCCAAATGAGAATGAACCAAATGGTAATTCCTCTTATCTTTCATTCTGGAATAAAGGCTTGCAATGGAAACTTCTGCTATAAATTACAAAATTAAACTTACATTAAGAGCTGGGTATAATAAATCTTTAAAGAATTTTTCAAGCAAAAATTCTTGAAAGATTTAAATAAGATGTTTCTTTTCCTGAAAGACATAAGATGTATAAAGTAGTACACTTACAAGAGGCATGGCAGCGATGAAGTTGAATAAGTATTTCTTGAAATCTTTCCTGCTACGGCCAATGATGCCACTGCAAACCACCACATGCAATGCATTAGTTGCAAAAGAAGCAAACCATAACACCGAGACAACTTTGGTAAGATCACAAAATTATTCTTAGGAGTGTTTTCTTAATCCAAAAAAATCGGTTAAAAAATGAAAAAAAAAGCTTACGAAAATATGTTTGCCACTTTTGAAGTCTTACAATTTTAACAGCTTGCTACAGACAACAAAATTAGGAATAACTAGTTTTTTACTTGGTAAAAATGGCTACTAAAATCAGACTTAAGGCATGTTTTATGGATTGAACGTGTCTCTACAACGCATGCACTGTAAGCTCTCGGTGGCGTGAACCCCCAGCCACTCCTCAGAAAAAGAGATGAAGCTGTCTGTCTCTGCAATGAGCGGCAGCACGGAACCCTCCCTCTGGAGCCGTTCTAGCCTGGCTTCCAGGGTTGCCATGTCAAAACCAACTCAAAGGCAATGGACCTGGTGTTTGTATTACCTGGGGTCCCAATCCCATGTAGGGTTGTTGGCTAAGTTACATGAGGCAGTATTAATGTAGAGTATGTCTTAAATAGATCTCTTTTGCGGTCTGAAGAGTAGGTGGGGGAAGATGGATGTAATGCCACATGAAATCTCCAAAAAGTCAGGAAACTGTAGAAGCCAGAACATTCCTTGGGAGCCAACAGAACGCCTTTCCCTATAGCTCAGGGTAGACTGCCCCTGTGAGTTCCCAAGATCATAATTCTTTACAGGAATAGAAAAGCCCTCACCTCAGAGCAGCTGGTGCTTTCGAACGACAGAACTTGTGGCTGGCAGCCCAAGTGTAACCGCCAAGGCAAGTGACACAAGCGGGGTTCAGATGGCAAAAAACAATGAGCAACTCTATAAACCCAACAATGGGGAGAAAAAGTACCACTTATTTGTTTTGAAATATTTTAATGCCCTGATTGTCATATGTGTGAACTCAAGACAAGGAGATGAATTGATGGGAGCCAGCAAGCTTTTGTAAATGGTACAGACAAATACTGGCTCTGTCGGGCATAAGAGGTCTATGTTATCATGACTATGCTGCCACTGAAGAAGGAATGCCATCAAGAATGCGTGTTGCTGGGTTCCAGTCAAACCTTTACAAACACAGAGAGCAGAACTGCTTGCTGGATTGGGAAACAGACAAGGGGTTCCTCAGAGGCTCCGAATGGTTCTCCAGTGGTGGTTTCAAGCCCTTTAACACTTGACAATTAGACCAGTTCCTCCCTTATCTGCTGTTCAGGGAGGCTTGGTTTTATTTTCAGTTTTCGTATTTAACTGCTTTTAAAATATACCTTAAAAATTTACTTAAAGTAAGGGCTCCACTACTCTAAAAGTATGACTAACATTAAATCATGTAAGTATAAGGAGATGGCCTAATGGTTACACGTTGAGCTGTTCACCCCAACCCAACTTCAACAGCTGGAAAACACCAGCAGCTCCATGGGAGAAAAATAGGGCTTTCTACTCCTGTAAAGAGTTACAGTCATGGAAACTCAGAGGGGTAGTTCTACCCTGTCCTCCAGGGTCATTGCTATGAGTCAGCATCAACTGGATGGCAGTGAGATTGAAATCATGTAAGTTAAGTGCCTGAATCCCATCTGTTTATGATGTGACAAAAAGAAATAATTTACTGACCCTAGAACTCTTTTTCCTAATAACATTTAAACTGAAATAAAATATAAGTTGCAAAACACTAGACTAAATGATTTTAAACGATCTCCCTCCAAAAACTGAAAAGTATATGACAGAAAAATAATTTTGACTTTATCAAGGCTTAAGTGAATAATAACAGGCTTTAACTAATCTTCTAGAGCAGTGGTTCTCAACTTCCTAATGCCGTGACCCTTTAATATAGTTCCTTATGTTGTGGTGACTCCCCAACCATAAAATTATTTTTGTTGCTACTTCATATAACTGTCATTTTGCTACTGTTATGAATCAGGCGACCCCTGTAAAAGGGCTGTTCAACCCCCACCAAAGGGGTCGCGAACCACAGGTTGAGAACCGCTGTTCTACAGGGGAGGAAAAAAAAAACCCCCTTATGGTCAAATAAATTTGGGAAACCCTAGGTGAAAAAAAGTTAACAGGTGACTTTGGCAAAGAACTTTTGCAAGTCAAGTCTCTGTGGTGGAATGTGTGCATTCTAATTCTCGGAGGGGAGTGGCGGCGGTGGTCGGTTGGCCAGGTGCCGTCGAGTTTGTTCTGATGTGTAGCAACCCTGCACAGGATGGAACGAAACTCTGCCTGGTTCAGTGCCACCTCGTGACTGTTGTTCTGTCTGAGCCCAGGGTGGCAGGCACGGCCTCAATCCATGTGCATTATGCAGTATGTCTTCTACCTAGTCTTCCACAAAATATGCTTCAGGAAATGTTGCTTTAAACTGACAGAAAAATCATAGTCTAATTTTGATATTAACTCCTAAATGATAAAAATGTTATAAAACAAAAGTTGGACTAGAAAGTAAGTTAAAATAGAACCACAAAAAAAAACCCTTTTGTTTACAAGTAGCAAGAATATTAGAAACACAAAGCAATTAACAAAGTACAAAAGATTTAAAGGTTTAGTTAAAATTGTTTGAATCCATCTTTACAAAAACAAAAACCAGAGTGCTTCAGTGGTGCCCAAGCTATGAAACACACAGATTATGTATGAAACGGTGGGAAAGTGCATGCCATCATTCAGCAATGGTTTACCATTGGAGTAGCAGCTATAAACTTAAAGAATGGCTTCTTGAATAAGGTCATATTTCTGCTTATTATTCCACTAGGGGGAGAAAATAATTAACAAGATAATTTTTGGTAGCTCTAATCATTAATACTTCTAAAATACACATTAGAGTCTTTATAAAAGAAACTTTGGAAATTTAAAAAATGTTGTTTGTAGCCAACTGAGTGAAAATAAAATACATCTTTATCACTACATATAGTAGCAATAGGGAATGAACAAGTCTCCCCTCTATCATGGAATTACTACAGCTTCTACCTTGAAGGACTCTGTCTTGTTAAGATTTGCCCATCCTCCAAGGCTACTAGCCACTGCTAACAAGTAAGCCTAGAAGATGAGAATGATGCAAACACGAAGTGCGTTAAGGACCACAATAATTCTCTGAGACTCTTCTCAGCAAAAATGTACGAGTCTAAATCTATTTTGGAAGAGGCAAAAAGGGAACAATACCTATTTACAATGTAGCTTTAAAATAGCAATGCTAGATAAATGTGTTAATTTTTCAAATAAGATTATTATGAATTCCCAGTATTTTTTAACTTTTTAGACAACTTGTAAAGGTTTCACACCAATCAGAGGCTCAAAACTATAGTTTACAGAGAAATGAACAATTAACTTTAAAATGACTTTTACAATAAGTGAATCTGGGTTAAAAGCACAAGTAAGTTCCTTGTACTACTCTTGTAACTTTTCTGTAAGCCGAAATTGCATCAAAATAATGTATTTTCCAAAAAGATTATGTGAGAAAGCCATAGGGAAGAGGAAAAAGAAAATCTCATAGAAAAAAATTTTATTCTTAACATTTAAATTGGTCTGCTGTTCATTAGTAAGTAAATGGATAAAATAACCGGAGAGGTTCACTTTTAAGTGCTATGATGCTTTCCTCCAAATCATCTTATTAATTCCAGATATCCAACTTGACTTTTTTTTTTAACAGACTTAAGTGTACTGCGCTTTAATTTTGTTTACATGGAGGACTGAATCCACTCAGAGAAAGCTCAAAGACCTGGCGATCTACTCCCATAACATGAGCCACTGAAAGCTTGATGGAGCAAAGTTTATAGAACACAGCTCCCCTCTGACATGTGGGGCAACCTCTGCCCACTGTCCACGAGTACTACCCCGACATGACAGACACTCGATATTTACTGAATACGTGAACAAACTTATAAACTGACTTAGTATATTACAACTAATTTAAAATATCTTTTGTGCTGAGGAACTCCTTCAAAAGGCATTTCAATCTAGTTTCACACCCTACAGTATCTCACACATATAAGAAGAAGGCGAAGGAAAGTACCTTTCAATAAGCGTCCCATTTTGAATCATCCAAACATCACAGTATGTTCGGGAAACCAGCATTACAGCAATAAGTAACAAGTAACCTGTCTGAAAAAAACCATATTAAATAAAAATCGTTTTAGAAAGTTAAACAAAAACTTTTGCTTACTCGTGCTTTAAAGATACAATTTACATATAATTTTTAAGTATAATATCAATAACAAAGGCCTTATACATGCCCTAATCTAATTTTCTCATCCAGAGTTAAAATGAGTTTCCTTCATACAATTAGTCAAGAACAGCAGTTAAAGGCATAATGTATTACTTGAATTACTATCTATTGTGATTTTATTATGTTGTTAATATCCAACTTAGATTGTTTCTAATGACAATAATAGATGACCAATAGATGAGTAAGTCAAAAAGTATTTTAAAATCACAGAAGGCTGTGTTAAATAAAAACATCAAAATGTGAAGGAATGTTTCCCAATACATCCTCCTTACAGGTCTACATACTTCCAGAGCAGTGTTTTCACCTCACTAACCCATCCAGAAAGAAGTCTCCACTTTACACCATGAATCTGTATATTACAACTGTACACTTATAAATTCTTCAATTTACACCATACGTCAAAGCAGCAGTTTTGGCTTCCTCAAGGGAATCAATTATGTTCTCTGAGATTGGGGGAACAAAATGCAGTCTGAAGAGACAAGACCAGGGCTGGAGGGTAGGTGGGGTAAGGTTTCCTAATGAGACTTTTGTAGGATAAGCCCTTGTTAGCCTTAAAGAACGAGCAGACACACTGTTGTGATAAAAAAAATGTCTCGGTGAACCTTCTCTCATTTCTGAATGAGAACTTTTCCATTTTCTGAAAACTTCCTAATAAATGCTGTGGTCATCTTCATCCTTTGAGAAAAACCTATCAAGACTGCCCGTCTGGAGTCACAAAACGAATGACCATGACCTGAGTTGACCTCTCTGCTTCTCAGATAAGTGACCCAGCAGATCCCCTTGAAAGCCATTGTTCTGATTGGACCCTTTTTGAAGGGAACCTGTGGAGCCTAAGCTACACTGAGAGAATGTCTCTGCAGAGACAGGTTTACGCATGTCTGGAGTAAGCCTGTGCATACATGAACTGCAACCAAAGCAGCAATGTTTTTGGACTTCTGGTTAAGCAGCTAACAAATGGTGAAGCCCAATAGTTAGATCCTTCCACCTCCTTTAATAACTAACTCCCTGAGCGCTATCCAATGCCTCACCTTTATTTTACAGTCATGGAAACCCTGCTGAAACAATTAAATGACCTTTAAAATGTAACTGATAAAAAAAACAGACTCACTGCCATCGAGTCAATTACAACTCATGGGAGCCCTATAGACAGGGTAGAAGTGTCCCTTTGGGTTTCTGAGACTGTGACCCTTCCTGGGAGGAGAGAGCCTCGTCTTTCTCCGGTGGAGCAGCAGGGTTTCAAGCCGCTAACCTTACGGTTAGCAGCCCAAAGGCACTAAATCTATTGCTATCAGTTGATTCCAACTCAGTGACCTTATTGGACAGAGTACAACTACCCCCACAGGATTTCAAAGACTGTAATCTTTACAGAAACCAACTGTGCATCTTTCTTCTGCAGAACACCTCAGGGTTCCAACAGATGACCTTTCAGCTAGCACCCACCCCCCCACCCCCCGGGCTCTATGTTAACTGACAAGGGGTAAGGTACAAATCTTTCCAGAAATGCTTGCATTTCAAATAAGGATTCTTCAAAGCCAGATAGGTTTTAGACATGAGAAAACAACGACCGGTTAATTATGTCCGGAAGGTCATGAGAGACATCACAAAGAAGATGAGGAGCAGAAAGCTATCTTTCAACATATTTGTTTTTGTTGGGGAGATTCTCACAGACTTGACCCCTGTGAACAAATGAAAGATCAGGGCCTGGTGGACAAACAGCAAAGAATCTTCCACACAGATGGTACTGAAAAGAGGTGCCAGCTTCAGAGTGCCGTTTATTCTATAAGGAGTCCAATGTTTTTATTGGAGGTTTTAGACAGGAGACTAGTTGAAAAGGCAAGGGGAAGGGATCAATCAGAAATCAGAATGATACAAGGAAGGTAATGTGAGAACAAGGGGAATTGTAAGTTACTAAGAGATTCCCTTGCAAGAAGCTCAAGAGTACTTGGGGAAAATGTTAAAAACACGAGAGGGCGCCTCAAAAGTGTGAGTGTGTCCCATGTTTTTATTATGTGCTCACATAAAAGACGGCTGCACACCAAAATGGAGATTTACAGTCTTGGGGAAAACCCTACAAAAGGCTGCGATGGCAGTGGGGTCCAATTATTGTCATAATTCCCATGTAGGAAGAGGTAAAAGGAAAAAATTACACTTCGGAGAAAAATCTATCAGATCCTAGTGACTGGGAAGAAGAGTCAAAGGTGACATTTCTAGTTGGTGTAAAATGAGGATGTTGAGGTGATTAATGATACTTCATTTTAAATATTAAAAATGTCTATCTAATAATGATAATCTTGATAAAAGGGCAGAAGAGATAATAAAACTTGATTCCTAAAGACAAACCAGCTCATTTCCTAAAAAGTATTTTTAAGGAGGTAAGTATCAAAAACCATAATCAGTTTTTTTGTTCATTTAACTTTATTTAGCCCATCATAATGTCCACCATCCAGTTAGCTTCTTCATGTATGAAAAAGCATTGGTCAATCCTATCCCATGTCAATGTGACTTACTAATACTGGAATGTAAAAAGATCATCTTTGAAATCCTAACCGTTTCTATTAACAGTATTTAGCTATAATAAACCAACTCCACTTAGCATAAATGCATCACAGTTTAATAGTATTTCACATAAGATAAAATGAAATAATATTTTATTGTAAGACACTACCTATTTAAGAACAAGCATTAAACATTAAAGGCATCCTTTCATGACAGGTGGTGACATCAAGACAAGAATTTAGTAGCCCTTATTACAAACACAGAAAATATTTGGCCTATGGCATAACTGAGGCTTTATAATATGATTTTACTGACTTGATTTCATGTAACCTCAAAGGTGAGAATAATATTATAATTCCATAAGACTTACCTCTTTACAAAATGTTCTAGGGACCATGATTTTCAAAATGCTTGTAAGTCTTGATAAAAACACCCTGTCCACCATAGCGCGCTCCTTTTTCCCCTCTTTCTATAAGAAAAGAGGAAAAAAGATTGTGAGGAAAACTCTAACAAACCTACAACAAATATGATTAAATAATCATGTTTCAACTTAGTCAATATAAACAAATATTAAGGTGGGTGCTGCATTTAGAGAGGAGAGACTTGAACTGCTTCCTCGTATTTAAACATGCTTTCAGGAAATTCAGCATGTCTAAAAACTGCATAAGGAAGTGAGATGTGCTAGAGCCACGTAAACATCTGGGATAAGAAGGTTGCACAAAGAAGTCGCAGCAAGTGCAAGGATACAATGGTGGAGCCTGTTTAATGTGTCTGTGCAGCAAGATGGCCATCAAGCTATGTGCTAATAATTGGAGATACATCAGGGAAAAGGCTTGAGAAATCAAGTACCCACTGTTGTTTTTTTTCTTTTACATCTCCTCATTAAAAGCATAATTAAAACAAAACCCCCTGAGCAAGATTTTCCCTGATACCATTACAGGAGACTTGGATTCCTAGTCCTATCGTTTCTAATATGCCATATGCCAATTCATTCTTTCTCCCTCATAAATTCAAAGGCAGTTGACTAGAGGTTCTTGCACTCACACAGCTCATTTTCTAGCAGGAGAAACAGACAAAATTACAACAAGAAAAGTATCCCTGATGGATTCAGCAGGGTCATGAGAAAAGGAAGAACGTCTCTGGCCAAACGACTGGAAAAGTTTCTGAGACATCCATGAGGGAGGCCACTCAAGGGCCTGGGGTGGGAGGAGGACACAGGACGGAAGTCAATGGCACTAATTATGTATGTAGGAGTTATTGAAGTGGAGAATGGTTTGTTGTGTATATTTTCACAATAGTTACACACACAAAAATATATACATATATATATTTTAAACTTAGAATGAAGTACTTATATTTGAAGTACATGAAGTGTACAAAAGAAAACAAACACACAAACACCAACACACACCAAGCTCACGGCCACTGAGTCAATGCTGACTCCTAACGACCCGAGAGGACAGGGCAGACCTGTCCTCGGGGTTTCCCAGACTGTAGCACTTTGAAGGAATAGAAAGTTTTGTTGTTCTCCCACGGAACAGCTGGTGGTTTCGAACGGCTGACCTTGTGGATCACAGTCCAACAGGTAACCACTACACCACTGGGGCTCACACACATGAAGTGTGGTGGAGCCTATTTACTTGATCACAACTGGGAGAATAGGCAGGAAAAACTTGGCATAAGCAAGAAACTCCAGAAGGACACTGTCCCCAGCCTATTGCCCCGTCTATCCACTCCTCCAACCCCTGCTGGCTCCCTTTGTGTGTGTGTGAACTAGGTACCTTGGGCTAAGCTTTGGGCTGGTAACCACAAAGTTGGTGGGTTCAAACCCACCAGATACTCTGGAGGAGAAAGATGAGGCTATCTGCTCCCATAAAGATTTACTGAGAAACTCTATACTGGGTTCGCTGTAGGTCTGAAGCAACTCGATGGCAGTGGAGTGGTTTTTGTTGGATGCAGCTGATAAACAACCACGCATGACAGAATAAATTCTATTAGACAAAAATTAATATAAGCACACTTTCATTAAGTTAACATCTAGGTTGATGAATCTCCATGAAGTCTGATTACAGAATTAGAATAATAAACTATCAATTACATGTTGCACAGTGTACCAATTGCTTGAGATACAAAGATACTGGGCAGAGCACAAACTTGTGGACTGAGATACCAAGTCTGCAAGCAGTATCCCTGGGGTTAGATTAGGAAGACAAACACGGGAAGAACTCGGTAAAAATGTTGGAACAAACTCAGGATTTCAGGTCTTTCAGAGAAGGCTGTACTTCATGTCCTCGTGAGTTAAGGGCCCAATCTACTTCATCCATGTATGCAGGCATCTTTTCCTTCAACAAGCACTTACTTGGTGTCAACGCACACTCCCAAAAGATGGGGGCACAGCGGTACACAAAGCAGACAAGCCTTACAGTCTGTTTAGTTGAGCTAACTGATTCTCCTCCTGAAGCTAAACCTTGAAACTCACATCTAAATCTCCTATTTAGGTTCTCAGATTGAGAAAATGTAGAAGGGAAATAGAGGATGATACACACCACCTACCTTATAAAAACAGATGTTCTATACTGCTCATGGTTTTCCTCCTCTCACTGCCCACCCATAGTCAACTCCCTTCTCCATCCCTAGCCTGACCATGAGATGGAATCATTACTTCCCCACTGAAATGGCCACGTCTTACTTTAAACAGAGGCCATCTATTTCTACCTGCTCTCAAGAAATGGACTACAGCAAACAGGAGAAACATCACAGCACTTTACAATGCGAGCAGCTGACAGTAATGCCTCCTCCCCTTTTCAACTGTCCTGCTACCACTGCTGCTGCTTCTTAAGCTACCTGAAAGCTGCCTAGACTTCCATTACATTTCAATCTGTGAAAGGAAGTATATTCTTCAGGAAATGATCAGTGTTTCCTGTAAAGAAACAGCTGGCTCAGAAAGACTGGATTCAGATAGAAGAAAGGTCAAGATGCTCTGCTATTCTTGACACATAATAAAACTAATACATGAAACTCCTCTAAAGGAGAACGCCCACGGAAACAGTACATTTCATTAACTCTACGAGACTCCCTACCCTAAACGTTTCAGTAAGTTTTAAAACAAAGCAAAACATTTTGAGGACAGAGCTTAAGATTAGAAATTACTTTTTAATTTCTTATTTTTAAAAAGCACACATACAAGTGGGCAAAGACTTTTTAAAAGTTAAAGCAATAAAACAACTGGGGGAAACACACTCACCCAACCTCTGGAAGGCAACATGGTCAGTGGGCGATGAGAGAAGTTACTACTGCTAGTTCATTCAACTTGGAAAAGAGGAGTGGAAACAGAATTAACTGACACCGATATGTGAGACAGCAAATACCGTAAAAGGCAGAAAGGATGTAAAAAGGATAAGCAATTTGTGTGTTGAAAAGGAACGCACACTGGGACCATTGAGTATTATCTGTAGAAATGTAACATGTGCACTGGCTGTAAAATGTAGAATATTCCAGCAAATTGACTTTTAGGAACCTTTTTAAAAATCATTTTATTGGGGGCTCCATACAGTTCTATCACAATACCTGCATATATCCATTGTGTCCAGCACATTTGTGTATTTGTTGCCATCATCATTCTCAAAACATTTTCTTTCTACTTGAGTTCTTGGTTATCAGCTCCTCATCCCCCCGCCCCATGAACCCTTGATAATTTATAAATAATTATATATTTTTTTCATGTCTTACACTGACCAATGTCTCCCTTCACCAACTTTTCTGTTGTCCGTCCCCCTGGGAGGAGATTATATGTAGATCAGTGTGATCAGTTCCCCCGACCTTCCCCTTACCCTCCTGGTATTGCTACTCTCATTATTGGTCCTAAAGGGTTTATCTGTCCTGGATTCCCTGTGCTTCGAGCTCTTATCTGTACCCATGTACATGATCTGGTCTAGCCGGATTTGTAAGGTAGAATTGGGATCATGATAGTAAGGGGGAGGAAGCATTAAAAAACTAGAGGAAAGTTGTACGTTTCATCGGTGCTATACTGCACCCTGACTGGCTCATCTCCCTGTGACCCTTCAGTAAGAGTATGTACAATTGTCTACAGATGGGCTTTGGGTCTCCAATTTGCACTCTCTCCCATTCACAATGATATGATACATGATCCCATGGACACCTCAGGATCACACAGGTTGGGGTGCTTCTTCCATGTGGGCTTCGTTGCTTCTCAGCTAGATGACCGCTAGTTTGTCTTCAAGCCTTTAAGACCCCAGGCGCTACAGCTTTTGATAGCTGGGCACCATCAGCTTTGTTCACCACATTTGCTATGCACCCATTTCATCTTCAGTGATTGTGTTGGGAAGGTGAGCATCACAGAATGCCAGGTTATTAGAACAAAGTGTTCTTGCATTGAGGAAGTACTTGAGTAGAGGCCCAAGGTCCATCTGCTACCTTGATACTTAACATATAAATATATGTACATAGAACTATTTCTCTATCATTATATATAAATGTATTTACATACGTACATACCTGTATTTTGACCTCTATAAATGCCCTTTGTGTCCTAGTTTTTTCCTCTATTTCCTTTTACTTTCCGCTTGGCCCACTACCATGTTCAGCCTTCATTCGGGTTTCAGTAATTCCTCTCCGCTACATTGCCCTTGATCAAGTCCTACCAGGCATCCTAAAAGGATTTAGGAACTTATCATATGTTATTGCACAAATTATGGTAATGTTATACAATGAAAACCCTATACCTTGTGAAAAAAGCAGTAGTACATAATCATATAACAATTCTACAGAGCACTTAAGTTAACTAGATCTACAGCTATGAGAGACCAGTCCCTAGAGAAGGACATCATTCATGCTTGGTAAAGTGGAAGGGCAGCAAAAGAGAGGAAGGCCTTTGAGGTGGATTGACACAGTGGCTGCAAAAAAGGGCTCAAACACAGCAACACTTGAGGACGGTGCAGGTGGTGTTTGGTTCTGTGGTACACAGGGTCCCTGTGAGTCAGAACTGACTCGATGACGTCTGACAACAACAATGATGTACAGGAGTGGAGCTAAGAAACACTATACCGGGAGAACAGGATAGAATACACCATGGTGTAAAGTATTTCAATATGCAAAATAATTCAATTAAAGCTGTTCATTGATGCGCATGTACATACAAACTACCATAAAAGTATGCTGAGCAGTGAATTATTTAATATGACCCTTCTAGGCAGTCTTTCTAACTCCCACCAAATGACTAGGTAGGACTACATATGAAATGAGAGGTATTTGAGACCCAACACAGGAACTGAATAGCTTGTTAACAATATAAATAAGGTATATAGCATCCTTGTCGGGGGTGAGACCTTGCTATTAAGGTGTAAGAAACTCTAAACATGGGGATTAGTCCGTTTTGCCATCACTCGGCTGAAACTGTGCAAGTGAAAGCTGGGCACTGAGTAAGGAAGGTGGAAGAAAGATTGAGGCATTTGATATTGAAAGTATATGAACTGCCAAAAGAACAGACCTGTCTCGGAAGAAATACACCCAGAATGCTCCTTAGAGGCAAGTATGGTGAGACTTTGCCTCACATACTTTTGACATGCTATCAGGAGAGCTAGTCCCTAGGGAAGGACATGATGCTTGGCAAAATGGAGGGGCAGTGAAAAGGAGACCCTTGAGAAGATGGATTGACACAGTAGCTGCAACAATGGGCTCAAACATAAGAAGAATTGAGGGTGGCGCAGGACAGGGAGGGCAGTGTTTTGTTCTGTTGTACACAGAGCCAAAAAGATTTGGAACATCTGCAATGGTACCTATCAATAAGCGTAAAATGAAAGAGCTCGGTTCCATACACATTCGGCTCCAACCAGCTGCTCCGAGGGAGAAAGACGAGGCTTTCTGCTCTCATAAAGATTTACTGCTTCGGAAACCTCATCTAAGGCAGGTATGGGTAGGAAAATTCACTCAATGGCAGTGAGTTGGTTGGGGGAGGTTTAACATGAACCATACCAAGGTTGGAAAAGAGGATCTCACAACGGTCAACAAGGAAGAGCTGGGAGTGGAGTGTGTACTCAGCACGAGGGTTCCTGCATTAAGAATCTTCCAGGATCAGAGACAGAGCAGTGACGCTGGAGACAGGGAGAAACAGAGGTGGAGAAAAGCAGCAGCCAAGGCGGGAGGACCAAGAGACCAGCAAGAGACAAGCACAGTGGCTTGTGGGCCCAGGAAACAAAAAAGCAAGCAAACCAAAACTGAGGGGCTTGAGGCGGAGGGCTTGCTAAAATAGAATAGGATGCTCTGAGCACTTGTGGGTAGAGCTAGGCTTGGCAATCCCTGGCAGGTACAGGCTGACAGGTGGGGCAGTGTACTTCTGGGCACTAATAGCAGAGTTCAAAGTACTTGTTTACACTTTCCTGAGAGGGTAGAGGCCAAGCGCTGCAGAGAGGAATGTTTCAGACAAGGCTAAACAGAGGTTGTTCATATTGAAAATCTCTATCTAGAGTGTTTCTGACTCTGAACTGTAATCTGCTACTTCCCTAAGAAACCCACAATTAGTGTCATCTGTGAGTTTTGAGAGGCCATGGCCAGGAATTCTCAAATGCGCAGGAAGTAGAATGCCATGAGAAAGACAGCTGGCTTCAGATTGGGAGTAAGTTTGGAGGGGACAGGTCCTCTCAGAGGAATCGGCCTGGGGCAGCTAATGCAGATAATGATCTGCCTTCCCCTAGTGAGGCTACAAGAGGTCAGATGTCCCCTCCACCCCACCCCACCTTTTTTACAGAATACTAAACACTAAATACCTGTACTCTTGTTGAATCGTATACTGTGCATACTGCCTATAAATAAATTAAATGAACCCCTCCTCCCCCCACTATCATGATCCGAATTCGACCTTGCAAGTCTGGCTAGACCAGAGGACATACACTGGTACAGATAGGAACTGGAAACACAGGGAATCCAGGTCAGGTGGTCCCTTCAGGACCAGTGGTGTGAGTGGCAATACTGGGAGGGTGGAGGGAGGGTGAGTTGGAAAGGGGAACCAATTACAAGGATCTACATATAACCCCATCCCAGAACCTTGTTTTTCACCAGTACCTTCTTTGCAGCTTGGACTTATTCTTTTAGTACCATCTATTCTCCATCATATGCTACCTCTTAGAATAGTTGATCATAGACTAAGAATAAGTCCAAGCTGCAAAGAAGGTACTGGTGAAAAACAAGGTTCCAGGAATCAATGGAATTGAAATGTTTCAACCAACTGAAGTAGCACTGGAGGCACTAACGCGTCTATACCAAAACATAGGAGAGAGGATTATCTGGACAAGTGACTGGGAAAGGTCTGTATTTGTCCATTCCAAAGAAAAGTGAAGCAACAGGTGTGAAAATTACCTAACAGTGTCATTAGTATAACATGAAATTTAAATTTTGCTAGGGACAATCAAAACCCACTGCAGCAGTCCATCAAAGGGGAGCAGCCAGAAACTCAAGCCAGATTCAGAAGTAGCAGATCATTGGTGGTGTCAGATGGATCCTGGCTAAAGGCAAAGAATGTCAGAAAGATGTTTGTGCTTTACTGACTATGCGAAGACACTTTAACTGTGTGTAGCACACACAATGTGGTTAACACTGCAAAAAAAAACAGGAGTTCTGGAACACTTCATCGTACACAGACCAAGAGGCAGTTGTTTGAATAGAACCAAGGAATGCTGAAGGATTCAAGATCAAGAAAGGCGTGTCTCCAGGTTGTATCCTTTCACTTTACTTATTCAGTGTGTGTGATGAGATTGCAAGCTGGAAGCTAGGCTTTATGAAGAACATGCATTAGGAAAAAGGTTCAGTAACCCTGTGATTATGCAGATTAAACAACCTTGCTTGCTAAATCAGAGGATTTGAAGTACTTACTAACGAAAATCCAAGATTAAGGCCTGCAGTGTGGATTGCACCACAATGTAAACTCAAAACTTACTGCCATGGGGTGAATTCTGACTCCTAGCCACTGGTGGGTTCAAATGGCTGGTGGGTTAGCAGCCCAATATAACCCCTCTACCAGCAAGGCCACAATGTAAAGAAAACAAAAATCCTCACAATGGGGCCAATATACAACATTGTGACAAACAAAAGATTTCTTTTTACTGAGCTCCAGAATCAATATTCATAAAAGTAGTATCAAAAGTCAAAGGATGTATTATTGTATTGGGTACATCTGCTGAACAAGCCCTTTTAAAAATGTTAAAGAGCGAAGATGTCACTTTGAAGACTAAGGTGCACCTGATCAAAGCCACGGTTAACATCAGTCGCTTCATATAAATATTAAAGAGCTGGACAAGGAATAGGGAAGATTGGAGAAGAATTCATGGGTTTGAATATGAGTATCAGTGAAGAATACTGATTGTGGTAGTTACATAATTTCACATCAACTTGAAGATGTGTCAAAGTGTAGGGTGGTATCCAACTTTTCACAGCCGATGGTGCCTCTTTGTGGGAGTGACCTTCTCTTAAGGAAAACCTGGGTTACCTCCCCCTCTCTCTGCCTTTCCCTTCCTGCTTGCTGGCCATCGAGAGCTTCCAGAGCCCTGTCTTGTTTCCATCAACCTTGGATCCACATGACTTTGCATCCACCAGCTGTGATCTTCCTGCATTATGCATCATTGGATATAGTTGTTTGAGTCTGAAGTAAGACTTATGGATTAGTACCACACTTACGGACTTGAGTTGGACTGGGCTGAGATACTGTCTTAATATATAATTACTTCTTGATATAAAGCTCTTTCTTATACATTTATGAGTGTCACTGGATTTGTTTCTCGAGTCAACTGGGCCTAATACACTGAAGGACAGCTAGAAAAATTAATAATTACGTCATGACCAAAAAAATTGTCAAAAAAAATCTTATTTTAGAAGGAATTCTTGCAATGAATGGTGAATTACAGATGATCTTTAATTCCCTTCTTTAAAAAAATGGTATGGTTTTAGCTTAATTTAGAATTGCAGTGCTCGCTTCGGCAGCACATATACTAAAAATTTAGAATTGCATAACCAAAAACTGAATGCATGAAATACCAAGAAGTAGATGATTAAAATTTTACCTCATTGTTCTGTAATGGTGGTTTTCCACTTTTCTTACTGCAGAGGAAAAAAGAGAGAGAAAAATTTATTTATACAGTGTTCTCATCATTAACATTATGTTATCAAAAGAGTATTCCATATTACCTAAATGGGTTAATTCTTTTTTTCATCATACTAAGACAGGACACATTAAACAATAGCATTTAATCTGACTTTTATTAAGTAGCATTTAAAGAATGGCCACAAAATGTCAACTACACTTTTTGCAGACAGTGTTTATATTTGTGTATACATACACACAAACCCACGTCAAGTTGAATCCACTCATAGCAGCCCTTTAAGATAAAGTAGAGCTGTTCTCCAGGTGTACAAAACGTTAAGTCTTTATGGGAGTAAGTGCCACATCTTTCTCCCAAGCAGCACCAGGTGGGTTTGAACAGCCAACTCTGGCATTACCAGACCAACGCTTAACCTACTGCACTACAGGGCTCCTTATAAACATAAAAATGCATTCCCTAATACTTCTCAAGGAAAAGTAGAGCTGATTTCTCCCCCCTTTGAATCAGTGCTTGGCCATGTGAATTGTTTGAGCCAATGGGAACGAGTAAACAGATGCAAGCAGAGGCCTGGAAAATGTTTGTACCTTCTGCCTCTCATGTCAAAAATCCTAAGCTTGTCTCCCTGGTGCCATAGTGTATTATGCATTGGGCTGCTAACCACAACATCAACAGTTCAAAATCACAAGCCATTCTATAGGAGAAAGATAAGGCTTTCTGCTCCTATGAATATTTCACAACTTTGGAAACCACACACGCGCAGTTCTACTCTGTCCTATAGGGTCAACAGGAGTAGTATCCATTCAGCAACATAGAACAATTGGGTCCTTGTTATAATACACTACAATGGTGTACATGTGAGCACGCACACACAGACACAGACATATTCATATAGGTAGACATACACAATGGAACTCAGTGGTCAAACTCAATTCATTCCAAATCGTGTTTGAACACTGGAAGGTATAAAAACTGAACTTATTTTTCCCATAGGAAATAACGGAAAACCAAATAATTGGCACTGAGGTGCAAATTAACAGCAACTTTTCAACCTCTGTGATGGTCTGCGTTCTTTGTTTCATGGTCAATGATTTCACACCTTCTGACATATTAGGCGCTTTAATCACTTCCCACCCGCCCCCAGATCCCCCCAAAAGTTGATAATGTGAGCTTAGCCATGGAGTATTCAGCACCAGAGTCAGACAAGTGGCGGCCTGACTCAAATTCCACAATGATTTCTTTAACTCTATCGTGGTTCTCAGTTTTCCTCTTAGCTTTATTGCTGGTATCACTAACTATCTTTGGAACCATGATTACGATATTTTCCACAAATAAAGCTCAAAAGAAAGCACAGTGACACATGTTTTAACGCACTAACAAAAGCACTATATGTTGTCTGGGCAAGAGCCACGCTTAGACTGAAGTGTCACACTCTGTGTCCACTAGAGACTCGCTCTAGTGACACGTGTGGGGGATATGACTGCATGTGTTACACAGTAGAACTGCTCCATAGGCTTTTCTTGGCTGTCAGCTTTACTGAATCAGATTGGATGCTGATGTGTGGGCTGGGACCGTCAGCTTCAGAGTAGATTAGTTGGTGAGTGTAGACCCAGCATGTTTCGCTCTGTCTCTCTCTCACTCACACCACACACATACCCGCACTGACACAAGTGTCTCTGTATGCTTGACTGCTTTTGTCACAGGAAGCTGATTTACTGCCTCAGTTCAGGTAGATTTCCCAGCTTCATAAGTAGTTACTTAGCCATGACGGCTTTAGAAAGTCCGTGGGGGAAATTCCATTATTTTCAATTCTAACTCCATGAACTTTTTGAAGCTTCCTTGCATTTTTGCATTATTGCCAAATTCTAAAAGTCCAGGCCCAAATCAACAAAAAATAAAAACGAAAACTAAAAAATGCCTCACATTTTTTTCAAATTTCTAAAGATGGAAGTGTACTTAAATACTAAGTGAAATGAACTTTAGATAAAATTTTCAGAAGAACTGACTATATGCCAAGCACGCTATTCCAAACTCAAAAACCAAATTCACTGCCAATGAGTTGATGCCAATTCATAGCAACCCTATAAGACAGGGTAGAACTGCCCCTGGACTTCCCAAGATGCTAATTCTTTATGGGAGTAGAAAGCCCTGTCCTTTTCCTGAGGAAGGACTGGTGGTTTCCAGCTCTGGACCTTACAGTTAGCAGCCCAACGAGGAGCCACTACTCAAGATACAGCGCTTGCTCTCAAGAAGCCAAGGAGCGAGTAGATGTGATGTACACACTGTTCGGGACCTCAGAGGGCACCTGGTACTCACACTCAGAAACTCAAGAGGGGCAGGTCTACACTATCCTATAGGTTTGCTGTGAATCAGCATCCACTTAATGGCAGTGAATTTTGTTTTGTTTTGTTTGTTTTTTTGTGCAACTTCAGAGGTCTACCAACTCTCCAGTATTGTCATAATTTAATGTGCAAGGACCTTGATTCCTTTCCACAAAATGTCAGACTGGCTCCTTATATTGTTAACATTAAGTTGTCTGGATCTAGGATAGAAGTGTCAATGAGTTATTGGTAAGACAATTGAATGCTAGAGGGTGGGAAATTAACCCAACAAAAAATGCAGGCACCTTACACCTCAGTGAAATTTGTAGGGATCCACCACTGGTGGTATGAGGCATGTTGAGATATTCCTTCTAAAGTGAAGAATAAATTATTGCTTCTGGCCCCTCCCACAACTAAAAGGGAGGCACAACCCTGGCCGGCTGGATTTTGGAGGTGACATATCTATCGCCTCATTTGGATGTGCAACTTTGGACTTTTTATTAAGTGACTCAAAAATCTATTCCCTTAGAGCGAGGCCCAGAACAAGAGAAGGCTCTGCAACACATTCAGGCCGCTGTGCAACTGCTGTGCCACTTGGGCCACAGCATCCTCCGATCCAGTGGTGCTGGAAGTGTCAGTGGCAGGTAGAGATGCTGTTTGGAGTCTTTGGCAGGTATCCATTGGTGAATCACAGGGCAGACCCTTAGGATTTGGGCACAAACCCCAACGACCCTCTGCAGGTAACTACTCTCCTTTTAAGAATCAGCTCTGTCTTGTTAATAGGTCTTAGTAAAAATTCAATGCCTAACCGTGAGTCACCAAACAACCTAGGCTGTCCATAAAATCATACTTGCACATAAATAGCAACACTACATCATTAAACAGAAGTGGTATATATAAGATCAGGCTTGAGCAGAGCCTGCTCTAAGGGCCCACCGTCTCTACTCCTGTGAGAGTATCTCGCTTCTCCCAGTCTATGGCTGTAGCCTCGTGACCAGTTGCCTGAGGAAGAGAAAAATCAAGCCCGGCTTACAGATGGTACTGTGCAATGTGTAAGCACCAGTAGAAAGCAGACAACAGCAGTCATTCTGGGGCCTTCCTGAGGGACAATGGTGAAGAGAAATCCTCCCAAAGGGCAGAACTTCAAGCTGTGCCCTTGGTTGTTCACTTTGCTTAGAAGGAGAAATGGCACCAGATGTGTGATTTTATACTAATTCATTGGCTGTGGTCAATGATTTGGCTGAATGGTCAGGGACTTAGAAGAACCATGATTTAAAATTTGTTGACAAGAAGCTCTGAGGAAGAGGTAGGTGGACAGACCTTTTCTTAATGGGCAAAAGAAGATACTTGGGTCTTAGGTGAATGCTCACCTAGAGGTTAACTCTAAAGAAGAGGCTCTTAAATAATCAAGTCGATAGAATGACACCTTCTGTGAAATCCGCCCTCTTCTTTTCCCAGCCACTCCTATCACTGTCCGGTGGGCTCATGAACAAAGTGGCCAAGGAGGCAACACAGAGGTTATGCAGGGCTCAGCAGCATGGACTTCCACTCACCAGGCTGACTTGGCTGCAGTCACTGCTTAGTGCCAGATACTCCAACATGAATGATCAGCCAGTAATCTGGGGCCAGGTTGATTACCCAGAAACACGTCCATTCAGGTAAGAGCAGTGGTCTGTTTTAATTGGAATAAACACTTCTGGATCTGGTTTTGCCTTCCTTGAATGCAATGCTTCTGCCCAAACTACCATCCATGGATGTACAGAATTTGCTACCCACTCTCATGGTATCCTGCACAGCATTGCCTTGTAGTTTCTGCCACATGCCCAAAGCCAAGGGCTCATATCTCTCATTTCTATAAGCGACAGGAAGTATTCAGTTTATCTTATGCACAGAACTTAACAGTGAATGTGGATATTATTTGTATTCTAAAATTATATACATGATAAAGCTAAATGCTGCTTCTAACGTTACTTTTGAATTTAATCAGTTTTGTGAACAGCACTACGACTCCCCAAGTTGCCCAAACTAGAAAGCTAGAGATAACTTTTGTGTCCTCCACTCTAACCAGACCTGTTACGTAAACTTCCTTATCTCTTGATCTCTGTATCATCTGTCCATTTCTCTATGTTCCTATTACCATAGTTTAGTTTACCATTAGCATTTCCCTGGGTTACAGTAACAAACATTCTAATGTCTCTTTCTAATTCCAACAAATGTACAAATGTGCGTGACACAATGGAGGGATGGATTGTGAAGAGTTGTACAAGCCCCCAATAAAATGATTTTTAATTAATTAATTAATTTTTAAAAAGAAGAAAATCTTGTAAACTTAGCTAAGGCTCATTGCCATTGAGTAAATTCTGACTCCTAGCAACCCTATAGGACAGACAGAGTGGAAATGCCCCTATAGGTTTCTGAGGCTGTCAATCTTGAAGGGAGTGGGAAGCCTCGACTTTCTACATCAGGCTTAGCTGAACTACGCAACTTATCATTTGACAATGGACCAAAGCATGGGTTCTCTGTCTTTCCAAATGGAAAAGATCAATACTACACAGACATCATTCAATTCTGGTAGTTCATCTCCACAGCTCTATGAGCAGAAAAGAAAATGCTTCCTGTTCCACTGAAATATTCTAAAAGAGGGATGTGATAGGCCAAATATAGGTCATGTGCCCAGTTC